TGTGTTTTTTTTTTTTAGTTTTGGGTTTTTTTTTTAATGTACAAAGAGTTAACATTGTTTTTGTGATAAGGTAGCTATCTTGGGCGATCCATTCTGAGAAGTTCATTTAGTCCAAGTTAATGAAGCCAATATCCTTGGGGCACAGACGGAAACACTGGCAGCACATACTGAAATGGTATTTCCAGATCAGACTGGCTGGCTCCAGCAGCTGCTGCTGCTGCAAAAGAACCCTGGCTGAATTTTCTCGAATGGCTCTGGGAGAGTTGCCAGTAATGCTTCTTGCTTTCTTGGATGCAATGAGGCAAAAGGAAGAAAGAAAAAGAGAAAGAGGACTAGAAAAGAGAGCACAAAAGCAACAGCCAGAGGTGCCCTCACATACTCATTCTGGCCCAGAGAATGGAAGCCCACAGGGTCTGCATCACGGCTCCACTGAAATGAGCAGCAGTGGGAGCAGCACAGACATTAAATCAAAGGCAGGTGACCCTCTAGGAGACACAGAACTCAAAGTGGCATCACTGTGATTTCTTATCCATAGCTTAGTCCATGAGGGAGCAGGGTGAACCCTGACCTTGCTTCCTGGCCAGGGTTGTCCTCCTGCCCCACCCCAAGATAGGGAGACAATGGCCAGCAAAGCTGGATGAGCTGGTAGGGGCCATATTAGCGTGGCTTCACTGTGAAATGTATAGAAGCTTGGATTTTCTCCAGGATGCCACGGGAGCCACTGAAACTTTTTAAGAAGGGGAATGACATTATTTTTGTGTTTTTGAAAGCTTTCTCTGACCTCAGAGAAAGATGGGGTTGGAGCTGAGAGATTAGAACTTAGTAATCGGCACATACCTCAGTGGTGTCTCACAGCCAACATTATGCATAAGGCCTGCAGACTTCAGCTACTTAAGGGACAATCTGGTGTCTTCAAGGAAGAAAGAGTTCTTCCAGGAAGATGAGGCAGATAAAACATCACAGGGCTGGTGATAGGAAATAAATCTTGAAGGCCGTAAAGGAAATCCTTAGGAAACCAGTGGAAGGTCCAGTGAAAAAAAGAATAGATGCAAAAGACCAAAAGGTGGGTCAAAACCCTTACAAGTAAGCTGAGTTACATAAAAATTCTCAG